AAGTACTTTACACAGACACGAATATATATATACAGATTGAACAAAGAAGTCACATGACTGGAACTGTTGTGAACCTTAGAAGAGGTATCTAGGCACCCCGGGGTGTTTGTTTAGAGTAGGGTTGCCTAGATACCTCTTCTAAGTTTCACAACAGTTCCGGTCATGTGACTTCTTTGTTCAATCTGTATATATATATTCGTGTCTGTGTAAAGTACTTGTACCTGATGATGACAAAACCTTGTCGAAACGTTGTACATTTGCTGTCATGTTAAACTTATATTAAAGTTCTTCTTCATTACCCATTTAAGCCGTCTCCAGCCATTATTAGACTCTAATTATTTTGAAATATTTTCTCTAATCCTCAATCAGTTAGCAAGCATCTTGTTTGCCCTGATGAAGCTGTAATGGTGAAACACTGTCTTAAATAAAAACAGTTATATTTTCTGGAGTAATAGGTCATGCTTTATTATCTTTTAAACAAGGAATATAGCTCTAAAGTTTGCATTACAAACTTTAAACTCTGATGATGTTCAAAAACTTGGAGCACCAGGACCACCCAGAAAGAGATCTGCAACAAATCATATGCCAGTAGCATTAAGCACAGTGCAAAAGTCAGTGGTAAAAACCATCCGTGTGCCCCAGGCAATAGTACCCAACATAATCAGGAAGGATCTCCATCTTAAAAAGCAACACAAGTTGCTTTGGTGATATATACATTAAACTGCTGCATTTTCAGTCAGCTGGAGAATGAAATGAAATGAGCAGTCATGCTTTTTCATATGAAGAAATACATCACCTATGAATTTCTTTGCTATTGGACTGTTGAAACAGGAGCTGAGAAACATTAATCTTAATACATGTAAGGAGGAGTGATGTGTTGTGTACATAAGAAGAGCATTTTGCAATGAAAGCTGCTCTACAAAACTATTTTCAAGATGCACAGTCATCAGAGGGAGCATGACTGGACATGGCAACATAGACTGTAATGACATGATGAGCTTCCAAAATCATTGTATTATAATGTACTCAACCCTTTATAAAACATGCTTAAGATAGATGAAGTATTTATAAATATTAAGTACTTCTGTTCCATTATATATTTCTCATAGTTAACAATATTTAACGTTTTGTCTAAGTAAAGTTAAAAGATGTCATAAAGGTTGTTCAGTTTGAATTCAGGCTTGTTGTTTCCATAAATTACAGTACATGCATGTTCATAAAAAACAAAGAAAAAGATCTAATGCTGGAAAGAAACTTGTTCTCTTAGCTGTGGCTTCACTAGATAATAGACAGGGAGTAGTGGGAATCTTGTTAATCCATTTATGCATGTCAGTAATAGAATCATGTTATGAAACTTTTAACTGGCATTAATGAACTAATCCCATCCTAAATCAGTTAGTGATGTTTTTCAAAATAATGCATTTAATAAATTAAAGCACAGTTCATTATTTAAAGTGTGATATACTCCTTCAGAAATGTTAAGCAAGACATTTTTTAAAGGCGGTAAGAAGTTTTAAGACTTTCACAAAAATGAAAACATTAGATTGGAGTTTAATATCTTCTTTGGGATTATCTTTATGGAATAAACATATAAAATATGACAGAATCTTTAAATTTGACATTGTGGTAATTTCAAAATTGTTTTATATTATGTACTCGGTTTGGCTTTGAACCCAAGACCTGTATGACAGGTTAGTATTCTCCCAACTGAGCTAAAAGATTAACCCACTTTTTAACAACTAACAGTACCATATTTTGCCCCTCTCACAAATTTGGGAATGACCATGCTGTAGTTTCAGTTTTATTATTTCCTTGGCATGGAGTGCTCTCACCATCTGAGCTAAAAGGTTAACCCCCTAACATTGGCTAATAATGTACTTTTTAACAACTAAAACTCTCAGAATATTATTTAAAGATAAATTTATGTTCAATTTAAACTGCAGTATTTTTACATTAAATAATTTTTTATTTAAAATAACTTTTACTTCAAGTTTTGAAAAATACTGAGGGCAAGCTGTGATAAAAGTGTATCTTTTATTTTTAGGTGGAGTATTCTTTGCTATGTTACTAGAATTAATAATGATAAATAATTTCTTCATTGAATTTAACCTTTTCATAGTATAATTTTGTGCACTATACTTTGAGTATTTTATGTCTTACTTTTTTATGCATAAGGAGAAATCTGTTCAAGCTGATTTCTCAAAGAAAAGCTTTAGTAGTAATAATACTTCAGTGAATTGTAAATTTCACATCACTTCATTACTGTAAGACGGAAGTCTGTTATGATGAAAAATTAATTAAAAGCATTTCATATATATAATTTATGTATATGTGATTATCTCTCATAATGATTTCAAGCTATTTAAATAAATTATAATTTAAAAGCTTACAATTAATTTTATCTTCATCTAAGGAAAATCTGGTGCTCAACATAAGTGAGAGTGCTTATAATGCTAAAATTCAGTGTTTGATCTCTGTTGTGAGCATAGTGCACAAAGCCCATTGTGAAGATTTGTCAGAGAAGTGAGTGGATGTAATGTATGCAGATTTTTTATTTACCTCCAAAAATGTACATGTAATCAGTCTCATAACACAGGAAATATTGTAAATAATGTTGATGAAGAAATCATAACTGCACAGAAATAAATATATGAAACTGTAATAGAGCTTATCAAGATATCAACTTTACTTAAATTGTTTATTTACTTATTTATTTCAGTTAGTTTTAAGGAAGCAAAATTGATAACTAAGTAACATAGGCTATGGATATAGTTATTAATAATTTATGCAAATTGTACCTCTTCAAACAAAAGACTTAATGCTTCTCTCAGAGGATTAATGATTTTCTGAAATGTGTTATTCAAATTATGCTAACACAATTGTTTACTTATATTTTTAGAAGTATTAAGAAATAAAGGTTGATAAAGGGTAATGTTATTTAATGGGCCCCATTTTAAACGTTTTTTAAAATAGTAGCAAAATAAACTTGATGCCAAAAGATATTTTTCACCCTAATTTCATTTTCCAAATATTAACCATTCTGGATTTATGACATCATAAACTTGGCCATGTCTTGTATTCAGAATACAAATTATTTGATGGTATACGGACATTTCTCTTTAAAATCACTTTGTTTTTTTGTTTGTTATGATCTTAAATAACAAAGCAACATAATAGGCATTACTTTTTATGAGTTTAGTTAAGATTTCTCTGGGAGAAATACAGTTTGTGACAAAAATCAGGTACAAATTGTATGAAATGAAGCTTACCTGGTGAAATAAAACTAATTAGAAGAAAACTGAAGTGAGGAGGAGATGCTGGTACTTTTTTTATTAGTTCAAAGATCCTGCCACTCTCAAACATATATAATACTTGTTAATTTAAGTTGCAGTTTCTAGTATCTTAGGAAGACCTTTTAAAGACTTGTGAAATGTTTAGGATGTATGTATGAATAGTAAATGAGGAGAGAAAGCATGCAATCTTTTCAATATCTTTTTTTATATGTCCATTTATACATATTCAATGCTAATAAGTCCTGTTAAAATTATCGTAAAGCTGAAATAATTATAATTTCATAAAGTAAATAGAACATGAGAAATGATTTCCATTTATATTACACTTTCTCCTTTTTTTTTTGTGAATTATCTAAATATATGAATTTTTATAATGATCAGTGAGAATATAAACCAAGAGATATTTTGTAAGTTATTGGCAAGTTTGTCCTGGATGAATTTTTAACTTCTGACAAAAGTATAACATTTATAAGAATGAATAATAAATAAAAAAATAAGAGAAAATGTAGCTTAAAACGGTAGACTGTCTCTGTTTAAGTTTTATGGTGATGAGTAATTTTTAAGATATGTACTTTAGAAGAATGGATTATCAAAAATAAATTATTAATAAAACTGGAATATTCAGTACAGTTTCTACCTTATTTAATTATGGATACCATTTCCAAGAATAGTTAGTAATTATCAATAGTTCCTGTTATTTTCTGAAAATCAAGATAGTTTAACTTTTGATATGAAAGTTTTATTACATATAATATTTTGATATTAGTTGAATGAATACAGCTGTTTGTTCATATTGCAAGGCAACTTTTAATTAAAACAGTTGCTTTTCTTTAGAATGGGTATGGCAGTGAGGAGTTGTTTTCCCCAGGGAGTAGTCAACAGGCTCCTGTGGAGATGGTGAGATTGTCACTCACAAGTAAGTTACTAACTACCATGTGAAAATATGATGCTGCTAGAAAGAATGTCACTACTTGTCAATAATTTTAAAATATATATCTGTGGAGTTAGTTTCGTATTTGTGGCCTTTTAATGATAATTTTTAACTTAAAGTATGAATTCTATAGCCATCTTCCATGTTCATAATATTTCTGACAGTTGTATGAACTGAAACTTAAAACTTCTCTTTGAAGTTCTTGTTCATAATTGGTTTAAAAAAAAGGGAAAAAAACGAATAAAAAGCGTTGAACTTAATTAAAAGAAATAGGATCATGCTATGAAATTTATAACTTGTAATAGTGATTTTGAATAGTGTTTTTGAAATAACACCTCAGTTTATAAATTTAAGCAGAGTTCACCCTGTGTTTAAAAGCAGCTTTGTTTTATAGACATTCAAGCCAAGAATCTTAAGAAAGGAATGTTCTTCAGTCCAGATCCATATGTTAAAGTCTCGGTTCAACCTGGTAGAGAAGAGGGAGTTTTGTCTTTGCCACATCATGGTCAAGAATGTCGAAGTGCAGTTGCTGAATCAACCATTAATCCTTCTTGGAATGAAAAGGTGGAGTTTAAATTTGATGACTTATGAAGTCTTGATAGTAAAAAATTTTTCATTGCTGCATCATATCAAATTTATATCTCTTATTAAATGGTATTCATAGTATCATTGAGATGGCTGGAAATCAAATGGGTTTTGTCTTCTGAATAACAACTCACATATCAAGTTTAACACTGTGCAATTGATGTTAACCTAAGCTACAATACTCAAAACTATTATTAAGTGTGTCATTGGAAATCATTGTGCTCCTGTGATTAATAGGAAGCTGTTTTAGTATCAATCCCTTAAATTTATGCCATCAGTATCATTTCATTCTAATTCTTCTGTGTTTTCAAAACAGGCAGTTTTCCTCTGTAATACAAAAAGCCTTCTATTGTTAAGTTGCACTCATGTTTTCATACTAATAGATTTAAAGTTCTCTGTGTCCTTCACACTTACCCAGTTTTTCACTCTCCCACCTTCCACATGGCTTACTGTGCTCACAACAGGAAGACTTATATAAGCTATGCTTTCCTGCCATAATCTAATTTTCTTGTTAATGGTCATGCTGTTAACTTCGCTCACTATGCATTCAAAAGTTAATATTTACTAGTGCTGCAAGTGTTTGTACTTCTCTTGAGAAGTTGCTCATTTAGTTTGCCTTTTGCATGTATCGAATTCCCATAGTTGTATTGTCAGCCGTTATTGATCTATGTATTCTGGCATTGATTTCCATATTGTCTAGTGGTGTCACTGGCAGGTTTAACATTCATATGGACAGTTGTAGAATATCTGCCCTTCCCCCCTTAATGATTATTGAAAAAAATAATAATGATCATAGATGTTACTAGCCTTTTAGTGTGGTAATCTTCCTTTACTTATCTTCTGAAGTTTATTAGAGTTTAAGCACTCATTTATGGTAGTTATTCCTTTTGAGATGACTGCCAAATTGCCTTTGTCTTCTTGCCTTGCTTCCCTTATCTTCAGTGAATATCAACTATTTGTTCTCGTTCCTTTTGATGCTACCGAGTGGTCAGAGTAATAGTAAGCAAGGTGGCTCTTCTTGGCCCATTTAATGACTTCTTTTCCAGGTGACCTTCCAATCTGGACTGCTGAGATTTTGTCTTGGATCATTGGTTCATCAGAGGAAACTTTGGCCTTGAGATCCTTGGTTTCAACTGATCTCTAAGTCTGGTCTTAATCTCCTTACCTCTTCCAATCTAGCTGCTTAAAAACTATGAATCAGGAAGTCTCAAGTCTTTAGAAAGGTGTATTTGAAGTCATTTATCACAATTATCCAGGTTATTAATCTCATTTATTTGTATTTCTAAAGATATCAGGATATTGGAGACCTGTCTCAACCCTTCTTTTCCTGAAGACATCTCATTTTAAAATGGTGAAACATGGTTATTATGACAGTTTCTTTCTTGTGGCCATTGGATGAGGATGATGGATTTACAGGATGCTCATCTTCACGTTCCCATTCATTTAACATTTATTCTTTTTTTGACATTAGGGGGAAGGAGTAGTTTTCAGTTCACTGCACTGCACTTCCCTTTAGCTGCATACATTTTCTGCCTAAAGTCTGGTTTTTGCTGGTCTTCTTTATTCACTCTTCATTGATTTTTACTTTTACATGTACAATTAGCTTAGTCTGACCATTTCATCCATTCAGTCTTTTACACTCAGTTGACCACCCAGCCACCTGGTTTTGAACTGAAGTTGATCCAGGACGTACAGTTTGTTGCACCCTAGCTATTCTACACCATAGGGCACATCCCTTTTTTGTTTTCCTCATCAATTTTGGATGTGTTCCTTTCCTTTTCCACTCATTTATGTGACACACACTATTTCTATCACTGAGCAAAGAATATACCTGGTAAAGAAGTTTTTGCGGTCTCCCACGTATTTTCTTCTCCCAATGGGTGTTCTTCAGGCACTTTTGAAGAATGCTTATCTTTGTCCCTTGCACCAATCCCTCCACCTTATTCATGTTGGATTTTAGCTATTATGTGAGAGGAGGTAAGGTACAGTATCAGAAGTTAACATTTGCTTCACTGAAAATTTATTTCATATAGGTACTTACCTCCTCTCAAACTTTCCAGCCTTCCTTCCCACTTAAAACTGATGGTTAATTTCTGCCTAATCTCCAAGTAATAGTTAGGTAGAATCTAAAAGAGGGAATCGCTTGTGTCAGGAGGGTGTATCACACTCCTGTTGGTGAAGAGTTGTTGCATGATGATTAAAATGTGAAGACACAGTGAACCACATTGACCATAAGGTATCTGGGAGTTTCAAGGCTTTTGGCATGCAAAAACATTTTGCACTGAACAAGAATAGCTATTATGTGAGAGGAGGTAAGTACCTATCGGAAATATATTTTCAGTGTAGGAAAATCATAACTTCTAGAACTTATAAACTAAATGTTGCATCAAACATCCTGTTTTGTCATTAAAGTTACAGAATGCTACCAAAATGGTTCAAGTTTATATCCAGTGTATCTAGGGCAAAGGAAACTAATTATCGTACAGTTTGTTTTCAAACTGAAAAGAATGTCTGCCAAAAGGGACTGCAGCTCATGTCATATGTGCTATTCCAGCATGTCACACAGTCATTAATCAAATTTTCATTTTTCAAGCCTGGCAACCTTTCCTATTTTTCTACAGAAGACCTTTGTTGGTTGGTGAACTATTGAAATGTCCCTTGTATCAGAACAACAGGCTGCAGTAGCCACTGTAATCTTTAAGAATAAGCTCTCAAATCTGGAATTAACAACAAACAAGTAATTAGATGTTGAAAATATCTGTGACACTCTGAAACCATTCAAAATTGCAACTGCTGTATTATCCACAGACAAATACCAAATGTTAGAAGTCTTGAAAATGTATTGAAACTTTTAAAAGATTACTGATTGTCTTTAACTAGTATAAGTGAAGAGTATATCTTAAGTCTTCTATTCACAGTTTGATTTTATTGCTTTCCCATCTGATATCTTGGAGTTTGAAGTAAAAGACAAATTTTCCAAAAGCCGGCCAATCATCAATCGTTTTTTAGGAAAACTTAGCATACAAGTTTCTTTTTTGATGGAACAATATAGTAGGTAAGATTCAAGTTACAGTGATGTAACATCAAATTGTTATCAGAAACCTGTTATTTTATTCTACTTGGAATAACACTAAATTTTTTTGATTTTTGGGTTTAAACCTAATTTGAATAACATAAAATATAACCACAGACAATCTTTGCAATACATTTTGATGCTTAAGAAATGTGCTAGTGTTGAGTTTATTTATCTTTCTATATTTTGGCTCACTAAAAATTCCAGTCTGTTTTTATTAACAACCTGAAAGAAGAAACTGTACAGAACAAGTTCACTTTCATGTACTTAATACATACTGAATACAGTTTTGTTCCATTATTCGACTTATGTATTTTCTAGGATATTAATCTTTTACATTAATCTATGAAATATAAAAAAATATATATATATATATATATATATATATATATATATATATACCAATACTACCTCCCACCTACTCTCTGTAGTAACAATAGAGAATAACTTAATTTAATTAATTTAAATTAAAGTAAGTAACTTACTTTTCG